CCTCACATATTCTTGAATTTTTTTGCCATGAGATAGAGCCTTAAACTTGTATTTATTTGTCCATTTTAATATTTTTGATTGATGCCTCAAGTTGGTGATTTGTTGAACATGATGTTGGTTTATCGATGACCTAGTTTTAAGACTAGTGTTCTCGTGTGAATCTCTTTGATGCTTGGTGCTTTTGTATGACTTGAATGACTTGTTTGAGCTTCTGACCTCCATTCTTTCAATTTCTATTGTTTTCTCATTTTGTCTCCTTTACTTTCATTGGATGTTTGCTTCCTTTTATGGATGAAATTGGTTGATGCATGCCTAGTTGTTTTTTCATGTTTTGAATGTGATAGTTGTTGAACCTTCTTGATACCATGAGTTTGTTTATAAGTTGAAATGTTTGGTTATGCTACTGTTCCATCTTAGTTTCATGCCTTAATCTCAATGACTGAATCATTTGTGACTTGTTTCTTGTAAACTTGTTGTTGACAAATGTGTAACTATTTATGTGATGCATGTTTGATGCTCTTGTGATAATTTCTCAATCCTTGAAGTGTGTTGAAAATGTTGTGGTGTAGCTACTGACTTGTATGAGTTCACATCTTATTTGGTTCATTTTTTTCCTTGTAATGATGTTTGGATATTACTTCAAAATACAAATGCTTGTGCACTACTTGTTTGCCATTATCCTTAACATGTTACATGCCAAATTGGTGACATGATGTTTTTGCTTCATGAGTTGATTAGTTGCTTTATCATTTGCTTTATATATGTTAACATCCATTTATAATCTTAGCTTTGATACTTGAGGCTTTTCTCTGTACTCCTTTGATATTATGATTGACTGTGACTAAATCTAGAAGAAAGATTGCTCTTGTTGACTTTATATCATAAGTTAGTATAGCCCTCATCCTTAACCCTTTTAACCTCACCTTTAGGTTAGAGTTTGTAAACTCTCCTACTTTCTCTTTTGACCTTATTAGAGTCATTAGTCTTACAACTTAGACTTAAGATAGAGTTTGTAAACTCTATACAAGTGTTATTGCTATGAACACTTACATTCCCTTTAGACTTTGTTAAGCCATTAGCCCTTCAACTTAGACTTAGAATAGAGTTTGTAAACTCTATGTAAGTGTTATTGCTATGAACACTTACTTTCTATTTTAACCTCGTTAGAGTCATTAGCCTTTTAATTTAGACTTAGGTTAGAGTTTGTAAACTCTATGTAAGTGTTATTGCTATAAACACTTACCTTCCCCTTTGAACCTTGATCATTATCAAGTGTTCTTCACCCTTAGTTAGGTGAAATACGAGTGTTTGATTTCATCCTTGTTAGGATACGTAGACACAAGACTGCGAAGTCTTGGCGAACATACATAGTAAAAACTCTAGGTATTTCCCATAGAACATTCCCAAATAAAAGCAAACAAACAATAAAATAACACAAATACAACAAAAGGTTTCTATAGGAGACTATAGATACTTAGGGTGTTAATATCTTTCCTTACTATAACCAATCCCCGAATCTTAGACCTCTTTGCATTGTTGTTACTGTTGATATTTGTATGTGTGTATGTGTGTGTGTGTGTGTGTGTGTGTGTGTGTGTGTGTGTCTATATATATATATATATATATATATATATATATATATATATATATATATATATATATATATATATATATATATATATATATATATATATATATATATATATATATATATATATATATATATATATATATATATATATATATACACACACACATACATATATATATATTGTTAATAATATTTGTATATAGAATAGTCACACATTGACTATATCATGTAATTAGTTGTAATCTATTTATATATAATAATGTCTCCGTAGTGTTTTTCAAAACACACGGTTTATTCATGTCTCTTAGTCTCTTGTATTTCAACATGGTATCTAGAGCCTACTAAGAGGCAATTCTTTCTTCGCCGTATTTTACCCGGTTGACCTACCGTCTTCCGGTGAGAGAAATTTTTTTTTTTGGGAAAACCGTGTTGTCACTTCGGTTTGTCTCTCACTTTTCAAAATTCTCCCGTAACCGCCTTGCCGCCGTTACAGTTCCGGCAAAACTTCCGACGACGTTTCGAAAAACCGGTTTTGTAGGGTTGAGTTAGGCCCAATCTAAACAACATCTCTCGAAACAATTTCAGACAAAAGATCTTGGTAAACTCCATTATTTCTTGGGTATTGAAGTAGCCCAATCTAAAGATGGTTTGGTGATTTCTCAGAGGAAATATGCTATGGATATTTTGGAAGAAACAAGTTTGTTAAATGCTAAACCAGTCGATACTCCTATGGATCCAAGTGTTAAACTACTACCCAATCAGAGGGAGCCTCTATCTGACTCAAGAAGGTATAGGAGATTGGTTGGAAAGTTGAATTATCTCACAGTCACTCGTCCGGACATTTCTTTTGCAGTTAGTGTGGTACGCCAGTTCTTAAATTTCCCTTGTCAGGAACACATGGATGTTGTTATCCAGATTTTGAGATACATCAAATGTGCTCCAGGAAAAGGTCTTGTGTATGAGGATAAAAGATATACCTAGATAATTGGATACTTTGATGCTGATTGGGCAGGGTCACCCATTGACAGACGATCCACCTCTGGGTATTGTGTACTTGTTGGAGGAAACCTTATATCCTGGAAAAGTAAGAAACAAAATGTAGTTGCAAGATCAAGCGCTGAGGCAGAGTATAGGGCGATGGCAATGGCAACATGTGAACATTGCCAACATGTGAACTTATTTGATTAAAACAGTTGCTCAAGGAACTTCAAATTGAAGAAGCAAGACTAATGACACTTATTTGTGATAATCAAGCTGCATTGCACATTGCTTCAAATCCAGTCTTCCATGAGATGACCAAACATATTGAGATAGACTGTCACTTTGTCAGAGAGAAGATCGAGTCAGCCGACATCGTCACAAGCTTTGTCAACTCAAATGATCAATTGGCAGATGTGTTTACGAAATTTCTACGAAGCCCCAGAACTAATTATATATGTAACAAGCTTGGTGCATTTGACTTATATGCCCAAGTTTGAGGGGGAGTTATATATATATATATATATATATATATATATATATATATATATATATATATATATATATATATATATATATATATATATATATATATATATATATATATATATATATATATATATATATATATATATATATATATATATATATATATATATATATATATATATATATATATATATATATATATATATATATATATATATATATATATATATATATATATATATATATATATATATATATATATATATATATATATATATATATATATATATATATATATATATATATATATATATATATATATATATATATATATATATATATATATAGTGTTAAGAATATTTGTATATAGAATAGTCTCACATCGACTATATCATGTAATTAGTTATAATCTATTTATATATAATAATGTCTCCGTAGTGCTTTTCAAAACACACGGTTTATTCATGTCTCTTAGTCTCTTGTATTTCAACAGTTATATTGCACAATTAGATTTTATTCGATCCTTTTCCTTTTCTTTGAATAAATTAAAGTTTGGTAGTGAACATTTAAAGATTTGTGATTCAAGTTAATATAATAGTTTGATATCTGATTCTCACCGCAACAATCAGGATAAGTTAAGTTTATCCAACTTCAGATTTGATGGTGTTTAAGTGGGTTTTGATTTGGACCCCTACTTTTTTCCTTCTCTTTTTTATATTATTTGACTTTTCATACAAATAAAAATAAAAACTAATTTGTATTTATAAATTAGTTTGCAATTATAAATCAATTTATATTTTGAATTATTTAAGAACCAATCTTTTTTCAGAAAAAAAATTATATTTTTTAACTTTTCAGAATAAAAAAATATTGTTTATTTTCAGAAAAAAAAAATTGATTTTCAGAACTTTTATTTATTTTTTCGAGTAAAAAATTTTTTGCTTTCAGAAAAAAATTATTATGTTCGGAATAAAATTATTTTTTAAATTAAGAAAATATATTGTATTTTCAAAATAAATTATGTTTTATTTTGTGGAATAACTTTTTTTTTGAAAAAAATTATATTTTCAGTTTATTTTAATTTTCTGAGAAAATATTTTATTTTTATTTATCAGAAAAAAATAATTATACAAATATAATATATTTAAAATATGTTTTTCAAAACAATTAATTAAACGGTTTTAACTGGATTTTAATTTAAGTTTGGTTGAATGAATTGTTTATAATATGGGGTTCAGTTTATTATTTATTTAAATTGTTGAAATTTTTTATTATTCATTGCAATTCAAATTATATTTTTGCAAACCCCTGGTTGAACCCGTAGATAAACAAGTGTAAATGTCTGAGATGATTTACCTAGATAACAAGTGTGCAAAACTCATTTATACTTTTATTATTTAAAAGAATATTATCAACCAATGGACAAAGTTTATGTAGTAGCAGAAGACAGCGGAGAGTTGTATAAACTACCCTCTGAACTTTGAGCCATAGGAGTGGTTGGCATGTAGTAGTCCCTTTTGAATCCATGGAAACAAATTGAAGTTATGGCCAAATTTATGACAAACTTGGCATTGAATGCAATTGTTACCACCATAACTGCCACGATAATAGGTGTCTTGGACTCTATGTCATTCGAATTAGAAGAGGTTGGATTTGTATTATGATCAGAATCAGAATTAACCTACTGTAATCGGCCTAGCATTGGATGACATGTGTCAGTCAGTTTGTTAGGGTAGTTCTAAAGTATTTCTAATGGTGTTATACTGTGTTGGTTACAATGTGCCACTACTTCCAGTTATGAGCCACTGAGGAAGGATGAAAAAGCCGATAGTATGTTTCTAAACTCTCCAAATAAGCTTTACTTTCATTAATTATGATCAAAAAATTCCTTGAAATAAAAAATACATATAACAAATATGTTACTACAAAATAAACAAAAATGTCATCCAGCTTTCGATGTTCTTGTTACTTGTGGCAGAACAACTGAACTAAGATCCCCGGGATAAGGTGTAAACAAGCCTAATCCTCCCCTACTTTCTTTTAAATTGCTATTCTTTTTAAGTTGATCCAACTCTTTCACCCATTCTATGGGAGAAGAGTGCTCTCTTGTGTGAGGATGCAACACAAATATCGAATTGTATTCACAGTTCAGAAACATGAAGAAATTGAAAGCATCGCCTAATCTGTATGCAACATAGCCAAAACTCAGTTGATCTCTCGGCGTGAAGAGGTGAACCTCGTTAAACCACAAGCAGCTAAACAAGTTATTCACTGCAGTATGTTCTCGAATTATAATTGCTCCCTCTGGTACATCTGAAACATCAGAAACAACTGTTAAGTACACGTGCTTACTTTTCGTGATAGTTTTTTGACAGATTTCCATGGCTCGAACAAAAATGTCCGAAAGATTTGTCATCTTAGAAGTGAGACACCGAATGACATGCCTAAATTGTTGAAACCAAGTAGTCGAAATAAACTAAAAAATAAGAAAGTCTCATTTCCTGTCTTACCACTAATAGTCTTTTTATTTGAACTCCATGGTTGCATCCCCTCGTAATAATATATTTTCATGTGGAGATCAATAAGGGGCCGCGCGTATCGCTTTCGCCTCTTGTTTGCATCAGCTTCCTCGTATATACTACGATGATGCTTATGTTGAGCAATTGCAAATGTATGCTTCCCTCGCCATAGGTATCTGCAAAGTAAAGATTGTCGTACAAAGTGAGTCATCCATAAAATCTACAATAACAATCAAGTTTTTTTCCACCAAGTGAGATTGGCAACATGGACCAAACTACGCAATTATGTTCTATCAAAAACCATATTTCTATCCAACTCATTTAACTCGAGATCTTTCCTAGTTTCTCGCATAGTTTTACATCTAGTGGTTTGACTACTCTCCACCTAGTCTACTCTTCTTACTACAAAATCAACCGGCCTTCTCTCTCTCTCTCCATAAAGCCTATTATGCATTTATGCTACATCCAACATGAATGTCATACGTTCATCCCAGCAAGTACGTGTTACTGTTCACTTTATATATAAAGAAGCTTAAAATTCTTTAAAAATAAAAAATAGACTGAAATATATCATTTAGTCCACCTGTGGTGTTGTCTTCAAAATGGAAAATCCTATACGACACCGTGAAAAACAAACAGTCTTGCACAGACATGGTGGTGGGTAGATTTTACGTCAATATAGGTGTTGTTTGTAAGCTCTGAAGAAGAAAAATCAACGTTCAAGATTAATCCAATGGCTTAAGTGCTGTTTTTCCCGTTGGCTAAAATATAAATGCTTTTTCTAAGTTATCCCCTTGAGTGAACTAGTGTTTCCCAGAGGAATTAGATATGCAGCTATACTAGACAAGGAATCTAAGTGTCAACTGCAGAGCTCCATAAATTTTAAAACACTAGCAGTATTCTGTTCTACTAGAAAGCAATATTTATCAGTTCCAAAAAACAATTTTTTACTCCCTCCGTTCCTATATATAAGACAGATTTATGTTATTGTTTGGGTACTATATATGAGAAACATAGTACACTTTTTAAGCGTGTTAATCATTGAAATTCCATTTACACTCCCTACTTCAATGTGAGCTTTATTTTTCCTAGATATTATCTTCTAAACTAAATCACATGGAGAAACTTGGAAAGTCCATTATAAAAAGTCGAGCAATACTTTTCCCAGAAGAAAATCTACAAACAAAATTGACAAGCAAATTCCTAGCAACACTGTTTTTCTTAATAATAGTGTCTCCACAGGGTATTAGATAGCATTAGGTAGGTGCACTGTGGATTCAACTAATGTATGTATCGTATCCAAAAAAACGCATCAACTTCATAACTGTAAATATCTAAGCCTATAAAAGAGACAAATGATAGCGCAAAAGATATCCAACGTAACCAAACCCTTCAATTCAATGTGCCTAAGAATGCTTATTGTGTACTTTACTGGTAAGGACATAAAAATACCCACACCAACAATATCAAATGATTTTTTTTTCTCCCTTATCAAGCTATCTCAAAAAACAAAAGGATGGTAGTTTGAGTGTTTGACTACCAATCTAGAGAAACAGATTTAAAACATTCATATTATTCGTATTACCTTAAATATAAACTAAGATAGCAGGAATCAGTACCTCTCAAGGATAAGCAATGGATCAACTATCAGCTCCATTTTACCATCAATCCATATACTGTACTGTGCCTGAGGAAACAATCTGTGTGTTATTATTTTAGGAACCTTCCCGTTCCTTCTTGGTTCATCATAAGGTTGATTCTTAAGAAGAACAAGTCGCCAAATTCCCACCCATTTTCCACCAGCATTGTCTTCTTTCACGGTAGTATTTTCCCTCATGAATTTCAGAGATACCTCATCCACAACCATAAGAAAGCAAAAAAGTTTCTCTGAGCGGAGGCTTATATTTGACGGCTGATGAGGTATATCATAGCCGTCAAAAATGCCAGATGCAACGACAAATTTGCATTTCTCAACATATTTAATGTCTACAGGATCCATTTCAGCGCCGCCGCCTTTGATAAATCCACAGTGCACCTAAGGGGTGGAGAACATGTGAAACATAGGGCATTAAGGTATGCAATCAACAAGAGAATCTTACAGAATTGTGAAGCAATTGCAATTAGATTAATCTTAATAATAATTATAAAACCATTACCATTGATTTACCTTCATATTTGACTTCAGTTTGAAACTCTCCTCCCTCTGTTTCCAACTAATATGGCCTCCAAATAAAGGGGACGTCTCGGAACTATTAACCTCATCTTCGGTAACATACAATAAATTTTTGACAATTTCGTCAGAAGTTCTTCCAGTAGGGATAACTATTTTATCAGGGTCACTGGAAACAGGAATCGGACATCCTAAAAGTTACAGGCAGTATCAACATCAAACATCGGTATTTAATTGATGAAGTCTAAAAGTAATGGATGGAGAAAAAACTGCCAAAATCTTACTGTGAGGTTTTGTTACAAGTCCCATAGTGTCTAACATGGTGTAAACCTTGCTATTTTTGTTACACATGGCTGCAGGTCAAGCAAAAATAGCTATGTTTTTAGAAATCAGAAATGATGACATAATAGTGTAGTCTTGAGGAAGAAAATAGAAAGACAATGAATGTTTTTGTTTAACAACCTTCCCTTAAAGAATGCATTTTAATAACCTAACAGAACCTCCCACCAACAAGTCATTATCCTATATTCGTATGCATAGCAAATTTGCAACTAAATCCACCGATCATATAGTATATATTTATACTTCAAAGTTAATCTCAAACAACTAAATTTTGATAAAAGATAAGAAAAATAAACAGACAAATCCCCGTCTTATACCTAATTCCTGATATATCACATTATAAGACAACTAGATGAAGAGTCTATATTATGACAATCGATTTAAGAAGGGTTAACCACTAGTGTGATGATGTTGAAAAAATTGGTAACCTGATAAAAAGGAGACAGAAGTTTGACAAGACCAGACATGAAACAACAATGCAATAAGAATTAACAACATCCACAAGATCCCTCCTACAAGAACCAATCGAATAAACCCTTTCTTCCAAACAATCTTCATGGGGTAATCTTGGGGTACCCTCCCCGAAGAAAAGAGTCCCACTTCAAAATCTGCATCACCAACAAAGGCTATATCATACCTTCTAGTAAACAAAGGATATCTTAACATATTAAAGAATCAAAAGAGTTGATACAAGTTGTTGTTTACCTTTGGCTTGAAGATTTTGATTACTTCTGTCTCCTCTACGATTAAGGCGCAAAGATTTAGCCTTTTGAAGATCACTCTCCATATTTGATTCTTTCTTCAACCTATCATCATCACTGCCATAGTACATGAAATGCAAGAAAAATATAACTTTTTTGGCATAATTAAGAGCTAGGTTAATTGAAAGGGATTCAATTAAAAACCAAAACTTTAACAATGATTCCTCTAAAAAGCACCCAATTGGTGAAATGAATTGAGTCGTCTCACCTTTTGTCTTCTCCGCTTCTCCACCGGACTCTTTTCTCCGTCTCCTACGACGAAACACGTTCCCCGATTCAGATCCCGCGCTGGGGCGTGTCCAGATCTATGAAACCACGGCGTACGAACTACAGTGGCTTCGCTTCTGAAAGATACGGTTATGAAGTGAAAAGCGGGGATACAGTGGAGGTATGTTGAAGACGAGAATGCTCCGGCGAAAGCGAGAGTTATCGGAGTTGAGGAGTGGTTCCGTTGGAATAGGCGTTTAAGAATAAGAAGGAGAAAAGGTTGTGTCAATTGATAGTCGTTAGATCAAGTCCTGAATGTGTCCTTTTGATTTTTTCAGAATGGAAGAAGATTTGAATCATTAATGTTAATGATAAAAAAGGGGAGACAGATAAATAGAGAGAGAAAGGAGTTTATTGATAAAAAAAATATTTAATACTATAAAAATTATTTTTAAAAAAATAACTTAAACATACGAATTTTTATAGTTAGTGAAAAACATCTTGAGAAATAACTGAAATAATTGAAACAAATAAATTTTTAAAAAATATTTAACACTAAAATATAATTGAGAAAAATTAGTGAAACAAATAGTATGTATTGAACATAAAAGATCATGTGAAAAACATATTGAACCATGTCTGGTGTTTATGGATTAGAGAGTGATACTCTTATTCCACATGTTGTTATAAATCATGATTATAATAATCTAGAAAAGAACAACTATACAACTAGACATTCAACTTTCACGGGAGACTCTATTGAGTTTGAATGGTGGAAGAGCGAGATGTATACTCATATCATAAGCCTTGATTATGAGTTGTGGAATATTTTAGAGGATGACGTTGATATTCCAATGGTGTCTGATAAAAAAAACTTCATATCAGTTTAAAAAAAGGTTTATAGAAAACATCATAAAGTTAGAGGCATCTTGGTTGATGTTCTACCTCATTCAGAGTACATCGAAATCATTGGAAAAATATACTGCTAAGACCATTTTCAATTCCATGTGTATTACTTATGAAGGGAATCAACAAGTTCAGGAAGTTAAGGCTAATCTTCTTGTTCAACATTATGAGATGTTCAGAATGAAGAAGATTGAAGACATTGAAACCATGTTCTCCAGGTTTCAAGTTATTTTATCTAGACTTCAAGTTTTGGACAAGAGTTATACTACGTTTGATCGTGTAATGAAGATTCTTAAAAGTCTTCCTTCTAGTTACAGACCCAAAGTGACGGTTATACAGGAGTGTCGTACCTCGAAAAATACGATCCTCGCGATGGACGCGGAAAAAACGTTCGAATAGAGTCGCCACCGAACTTTATTTATTTCAAGGAAGGAATAGGAAAATATCGATAAAACCTTTAAAGAGATAAGAACATGGTCATCGCAACCAAATTCTAGGTTCGGGAGTCGATTACGCAAAGGGAAGGTATTAGCACCCTCTACGTCTGTTGTACTCAACGGGAACCTCTTGATTCGATTCGAGAGAAAAGTTAGCTACGCTGTTTGTTTTCTTCTAAGGTTTCGCTCCTAAGGGGAAAATGGGTGGTTATAAGATAGGGTGCTCGCCAAGGATTGGGGCCCTTGTGCCTATGTATTCCCTCGTGCAATGGGAAAGTCAGAGCATCGTAGTTCGTGGGACTACGAGAAAATTTTTGGGAGTTGTGGGGAAATGTGCTCGCCAAGATCATCGCAATCTTGTGTCTACGTATCTTACATTCAGAGGAGAATGAAGAATCAAAGCGTTCATAGTTCGGACAACTACGATAAAAGGTTTGTAAACGAACCAGGGTTTAGGTCGCATTCTAACTGCTAAATGTTGGCTTGTCTGCTCGCTAGTAGAGGCTGAAACACGAGTTTGTATACGCGGAAGAAGGGACTAAACAATATTCTTCGGGAACGTTGTTTGAGTAGTGGGTTGCACGGGGGCAAGGAAAAGGAGGTTAGTTAGATATTTTGATGGAGAACGATGACTATTCGATAAACGAGACGCCGGCCTCGCAATCAATTAATCGGGATATTATTGGAATGTTAGATTCCAATGACACCTTTTTCATTCAATTAATTATAAAATTGTGTTTGAATGGACAATGAAAGTATTTGTCCACATAATTAGGGCACGTATTTTATAGACGAAAGGTCGAATGACACACTATTCGAGACGTAAGCCTCAAAAGTTTTCGCTCAAGAATTCAAGGAGTGCAAGACTCCAATAACTCAATTCTTTCTCAATTTAATTAGGAAAATAATTTGAATAGGTTAGCGTATTCGGATTAGGCGCACTAGGTATTCTAAAAATGTAAGATCATAAGGATCACAACTCAAGGTGTGCACCTTGAGAACAATCCTTCGAGAATCCAAGAAGTGTTAGACCTCAAGAGCTCGATATCTACATTGTTTAAAAGAAAATAATAGTTGATTTTGAAGAAAAATACTCGAGGTGAGTCGAGGTTTGAATTTGAGTTTTAAACGTGTGCACTAGCAAAGTGGGCTAGTCTTCTAAGTGACCAACTAGAAATAATTGATCAAATAGGTGTCACTGTAAGCTTTAAAATGTTGTGTATGGTGATCAAAGGTTGATGGCGAGGCTTTGAAAGCACTCAACTTACAAGAGTGGGAAATGGCTCGATGAATCGAGAATTTATTTTGAAAAATTATTTTGAAGCATAAAACATAATTAAGGCAAAAGTGATAAAAAGTATATTACATTTTGTGGGAATGGGTACATTTCGTCAAATGGGGATAGGAATAAAACAATTAAATCGAACCCAATTGAATGAGTAACCACGACACTTGAAATCAACCGAAATCAGAAGCAATTGAATTTAGCTCTAAAAATAACTAAAGCACAGTACACTAAAATTGCAACCATATCATGATTAAGTCGAAATCATAGTAACATGCATACAACAACCAATATATGTAATCAATTCCCCGATTAAAATTAAATAAGAGTAGTGAGCATAACAGAAGCAAAAAGAATGATTTGAAGATTATCGACGCCGACTTTGAGACGCTGAATTTGTTGAACCCATACTAACTAAAGCACAGACCAAATCAACCCAGCTGGAAATTTGAATTCACATTGCACCAGAGTTGCTTCTATTGCCAGCTTTGGATGGCGGAACCGCGTTGTTGTTGATGTTGCCGAAGCAGGATGTTGTTGTGTTGCTGCTAGAAGAGTCGGGCTATGAACCGCATCATAATGTCGAAGTTAAATTTTTGTGTTGTCGAAGATGAGGGAAAGATCACCGAGAGAGTTACGTGATATTACTCAAGCTTGCGCAGTCACCAGAAATGATGATGTCGCAACAAAACCATATCAGATCCCCATTCTCACGACGACTCAAAACGGAGAATCTGACATGTGTTGACCAAACTGAGTTGTAGCTATTATTATTGAAGAGAGAGGAAAGGTTTCAGTGAGACATGGTCTTCTGAATTCTAGCATTAACGCTCTTCCGCCATGGATTACGGTAGCTTCTGTTGGCGGAGTCGTCGCGTTCAGTGGTTGCGAGCTGGGATGTTGTTGGTGAACTTGTAATGTTCTTGGAACGAAACCTACAATGTCGAGATTGCCTCCATTGAACGTCGAAGCCACCGCTACTGATACCGATGCTTTGCATTGTTGTTGGTGAATCCACAATGAGCGGAGAGGCCGTGTGGTTGTGGTCTAAAGCATCCACATTTTTTCGTTCTTCGAGCAATTCCTCCTTTGCGTGAGCGAGGGATCAAGAGGACTCGCTTTCTCCTCTTAGTTCGTTCATTGATTTTCGCAACAAAGCTTGAACATTACCTGGGGTTGAGTGAGATTGAGGGTTTCGTGAGAGGATGATGATAAAGGGATTTTACGGTGATGGTTGTCGGAGACGGAAGAGATGGTGATTTGAGGTGATGATGGGTGTGGCCGTGAGGAGAGTTTAATGGAGAAGGAGATGACAATGGTGATGGCCGTCTAGGGTGTTGAGAGGTGAAAGGGCGGCTGCGTTGAGAGGATAAGATGGGTCTAGGGTTTTTCCCCAAGAAGAAGACCAAGTCTGACCCTTTTTATCATTTTCTTTTTCTTTTTTTAATTAATTATTTACTTAACTAATTATATATTACTATTATTATTTATATTAACATTATTACAAAATAAAATTATAAAACAAAACAATAATAAAACTAAATGACACGTGTAAACTCCTTATTGGACAGAAATTACAAAACTTGAAAATTCACCATTTAGGGAAGGTCATGTGACTTTGTGACATGAAAAAAAATTTATACACAATTTCTGATTTTATTATCCAATCATTCAAAATAAAACAAAATGCTAAAATTGTGATTGGTTAATGGCAAAAAGTGAGGATCACACATGTGCATCCTTGATTAAAATTCAATCTGACGATTCATATTTAATCCAAGAAGCACACATAATTTAAAATGTCAAAATTGCCCTTTCTAGAAGCTTAATTAATTTAATAGAATTAAATTAATTAAAAACCACTAGAAAATTCACAACTTATTAAATAAACATGCTAAAAATAAAATGAGAGCATGGAAAATTCAAATTAATTATTCTTGACGTTTTGATGAAAATATAAAAAATAAATTGAGTGAAAACAAACAATAGTCGGGGAACAGAGATGCTTAAAAGATTAAATCGACTGCACACAAAAGATTAGCGCGAAATAAATAAATTGGAGAGATGCAGCACTCAGTCAACTTTGAGAATCGACCGGGACTGATAGAAAGGTTCAGAATGATCAAAAGTGATTGAATATTCGTCGAGAGATAAGATGAGCGCGATAGGTCAAGTTTCAATGAGAAGTAGG